TTGGTTCTTTCGGTAAAGTCACGTAGAAGGGAAGTAATAAAATAATAAAAATAAAACATAATAAAATAATTCTCACGACGTTTCGGCCACAACGCAAGCAGCCGTCCTCAGGTGAAGAACGTGTCATTTGGACTCTGTCTTATCGACAGACATGTTCTTCACCTGAGGACGGCTGCTTGCGTTGTGGCCGAAACGTCGTGAGAATTATTTTATTATGTTTTATTTTTATTATTTTATTACTTCCCTTCTACGTGACTTTACCGAAAGAACCAAGAAGAACTTTGTAATTATGAATGTGAATCTCCATGCCGCTTATTTATTGGTCAACAGACAGTGATTAATGCAGCATTCATAACGACTGGTTCTTATTTAAGAAAGTGATGCACATCAGCATGTTGTGTGCCTTAATTTAACATGAAAATAATTTAGTTACACTAAAACTCGTTGTTGAAAAAAAGTATAGTTAAAAAAAGAAATTCATAACAATATAAATGCATTAAACTAAAAGCTAGCATGGGAAACGAAATACCTTGCAACACCAATGGGTCCGTAAACATGTTCTAGGTGGCAATTTATTGGAAATGGATAAACCCATCCAAACAGATGGTGGTACAGCAGATGACGATACAAGATATGTGCTCACCGACTGGCCGATCTGAAAGTAATTCACTTACCCCTTTAAGAACAAAAAGATGGAAGCTTTTGTTTATGGTGGCGAGGACTTTGGTGGTGATGGTATTTGTGCATAGGTATGTTTAGGCAATATTTTATTGAAACTTTTTCAAGTGTACAATTTTACGCACGATCATGTAGAGGCATCACTAAAAAAGATTGTGGCAACTTATAACACTATGTAACACAATTTTTGTTCCTGGGTAGTAAGTGTTATTTTGTACTATGAGACCTCCTTTACCAGTGGCAAAATATAGTAATAGGTTTTAACCACAACACAAGCAGTCAAAATGCAAACAAAAAGAAACATCTCTGATGATGATAATTTTGACTGCTTGCGTTGTGGTTATTGCAAACATGATGCCTTGTATAAAGGTGTCAGTTTTTGTACCAGTTGAAAGGGTAAAAACCTATTACTATGTTATTTTGTAATTGCTTATGCCTAAAAGTATAGAAATTGGTTATTATTCCCCACAAACTTTGCTTTTGTGACCAGGACAGTGATATTTTGAAATTTACCTATTTTCAATGAGAAAACGGGCGAACTAGTGTCTTTTCATTCACATAAAGTCAGAAAAAACAACATGAATAAAAAATAACATGTATTTATACTAAAATAATACAAAAATGACTACAAAAGGTTTAGAAGTGCGTCTTTTTCGAGATTTACGATTATACTGTAAATAACTTTCACGAATTAGTCCCCAAATGTAGTCTCCCATCATGTTCTCGTTATACTGTCCTTTGTAGTGGTGTTCAAAGTCCAGTATATTCTTGTGGAAGCACTCGCCTTGCTCCTCCGAGTACGCTCCCATGTTCTCCTTGAATTTATCAAGATGAGCATCAAGGATATGGACTTTGAGGGACATACTACAGCCCATTGTGCCGTAGTTCTTCACCAGAGTCTCAACCAGCTCCACGTAGTTATCGACCTTGTGATTGCCCAGGAAGCCACGAACCACTTCGACAAAGCTGTCCCAAGCCACTTGCTCCTTACTAGTGAGCTTCTTGGGGAATTTATTGCACTCCAGGATCTTCTTTATCTGTGGTCCGACGAAGACACCGACTTTGACCTTTGCCTCAGACAGATTAGGGAAGAAATCTTGAAGGTACTTGAAGGCTGCCGACTCCTTATCTACAGCTCTGACAAATTGTTTCATAAGGCCCAATTTGATGTGCAGTGGTGGCATCAGCACCTTCCGGGGGTCCACCAGTGGCTCCCACTTGACGTTGTTCCTCCCCACAGAGAACTCGGTCCGCTGTGGCCAGTCCTGCCTGTGGTAGCGCGCCTTGCTGTCTAAATATTTAGTAGTAATTTTTGTATTACTTTAGTACAAATACATGTAAATTTTGATTCATGTCGTTTTTTTAGGACTTTATGTGAACGAAAAGAAAGTGTGGTTACCACATCTACGCCTCTATATAAGGAACCAAACAGTTAGACTTCACAAATCTGGCTGTTGCCTGATGAAGCTAATTTTAATTACTGGCGAAACGTCGTACTCAGATTGTAAATGTTGTGGCTTGGCTCTCCAACACACCGGTGTACTCTACTAGTGACGAATTGGCATGTTCTGTTTACGTGACAACACTTACTAGTTGGCTGTGTCGGGTGGTGGCGGGTTTTAACAACACATTTATATATTTACGCGATCTAACCCAAAAAAAACTTCTGGTATGGATTTATATTTTTATTTTACATTATTCTGATTCAATTAAACGATGCTAGGATATTACATTAAACTTGCACAGTCTCAAAAGAATGATATGTATTTTGTTAATGTCTATAAAAAATGCCTCGTGAGAAACATGTTCCTTTTGAGGTCCATTAATATTTTTGTACATATACATTTGAAATCGAGAACTTTTTCCATAACCAAAAAACACACTTGAAATGTGAAAAAGATGCAGCCGTTGCTAATTATTGTTGAATACATTTCCAAAAGGAAATAAATATACATGTACAACCCTTTGTCAAGCCACTGCCGGATGAAGACTTTCTCATAGCCATGTTGGTCATGAGGGTTGTTTGACCATACTTCACCACACTGGTCAATGTGGGTTGGTGAGAAAAGGGGCCCAGGACCAGTTCAGATGTGAGACGTGGCAAGGAATTAAGTTAGGTCGCCAGGTTCACAGCGCAGTGCACTAACCACTGCCCCACCACTTCCCATGAAGTAGAAGCTGGATACAAGCACACCCCTTGTGAGGGAGGACAGTGTGCTTATATCCAAAGTAGTGTGCTTGTATCAGAAGTTGGCATTGGGTTACATGCTCAGCAGCATTTTCTAAGGATGTGTTGCTTTTATCGATACTATGTTCAACGATAATTTCATATAATCATGGGTGATGGATGATGATATCAAGTATGAAAAACAAACATACTACATGAGAATTTGCCACATAAGACCTGCCCTATAACATTGAAAACACATCATGGGTGGGTGGTATAAATCATGCCCCGTCACATTTCCAGGTATGTTAATATCTTGTCACAAACCTTACTCTGTCTACAAGTAATAACAATCAAAATTAACAAAACTATATATAACACCTTGCAACAGAATGTCTCGTGAATCCCATTTGATTTGAAATGGTGCAAATGTGTGACATGCTCTTCTGTGCTGTGTATGCGGTGATAATTGGCGACAAAGGATATAGTGTGAAATAGGGAGGTGGCAGAGTTGAGGGTGGCAGGCACACTCACAGCTCCACTCGTAAATTACCCCTGTGCTCTATGCCTGTGTGTAAACAGACAGCAATTAACCCATTTGACCTCAAATTGCCTCTAAATAATAATTGCAAAAGTTACTTAAAGCTGTTATGGTCATCTGCCCATAGTATGCTATGCTTACCACTTTACTGCATTTTTAAAACTCACACTCGTGTCTCATTATTTTTTTAAATATTTTTTGTCCATCGATATTATTTAGCAGCATTTGTTTGTCTGTAGAATGTGGGTCAGACCCAGTAGCGGCTCCTGCAAAATCTCTCAGGGGGGGGGCAAATGTCTGGATGATTGATAAGGATAAGGTCCACCCATGCAATTGATAAATTAACAGCTTAAGCATGGAAAGGCAACTTCACTTCTTTAATATTAATGAAAAATAAAGTGACTCTTACAATACATCTTGTTTGTTTCTATACTCACTATTAAAACAAACCACTCAAGTTTCTTTTATTAAAGATTCCACTAGGTGGCGACAAATTATATTGTTGGATGACACGTGCTTACGTATGATGACGTAAGCACGTATGATGACGTAAGCACGTATGATGACGTAAGCACGTTAGGGCAAGCCCTCCCGGAAGCCATAGAGAATGCATTGCAGTGCCCCCGTTCGAAAAAAAACATCTTTGAATGTAAGTCTATGGGGCCACTCGGGGCGATTCTCAGCTGGAGGGAAATCGCCTAAAAGAGGCGGTACTCCACAGAACGTAGCATGACGCTGATTGGACTATATCCAGAGGCTGCAGTGACGGCTAGCGTGACTCTGTGGTTGAATGACATTGGTGGTGCGTCGCCCAATCGCCCTAATGAAGAAACCGCCCCTGGTCAGACCGTGTAAATAAAAGGCGTGTCATAAACCCACCTCCACCCAACGCAGCTGATCAAAAAAGTAGCCACCTGAATAAACGTGCCAATTTATGAATGCATCACCAGCACCGGTGTGTTGGAGAGTATTCTCGCAACATTTATGAAGCGTAACATTGATTGCAAAAGCCTACGTGTTAAAACCTATACCGGTTTCAAGATTCTGTGTCTCATCAGCAATGCCAGGCCTGTTAAACCACCACTGCCATTTCGATTTAAAGCTTTCGTGACTGCAGGGATTCATCTTCTTGGTTCTTTCGGTAAAGTCACGTAGAATGGAAACAATAAAAGTAATAAAATAAAGCATAATAAAATAATTCTCACGACGTTTCGGTCACAACGCAAGCAGCCGTCATTAGGTGAAGACCAGGTCTGTCGGGGAGACGCTGGTCTTCACCTGATGACGGCTGCTTGCGTTGTGGCCGAAACGTCGGGAGAATTATTTTATTATGTTTTATTTTATTATTTTTATTATTTCCATTCTACATGACTTTACCGAAAGAACCAAGAAGATGGACACCACTGCCATGTTACCAAATGATATTGTGGCAACAGCACTCCATTGTGTGTAATGTGTTCATTCTGCACTCTTGAGACATTCGTTACGTTACGGTTGCTCACGAACGTAATTTGGGTCCCGTTAAATGCTCTAAAAAAAGCGTTATTGTCTCGAAACTCATCGTTCGGTTCCACGCGCCAAATGTCTATCTCACCACCGCTTTTGTCTCAACAGCGTCGAACACGACTTTAAGCAGCAGGAGGACAAGATCCACAGGCAACTGAAGCCGAAGGAGACACCGTGCCCTGGTACCACTCCCCAGGATGAGGTGGTCGACACTCAGCCACCGCCACCGCCCAGTCCTGAGGTCAAGGCACCAGAGTCCCCACCGAGCCCTGTTCAGCAGAAGGCCCTCAGGCCACTGGGCAAGAGGGAGAAAAAGGGCTGCTTCTGGTTTCTCTGACAGTGCTCTTTTTCTCGCACTGCTATGGACACTCGTAAAAGCACAGGGAGGGCTCCAATGAACCAGCATTTTTTTGTTGACCTACTGTGTTTTGGGACGGACAGGAAGGAAAACCGCGTCCACTGAACACTGCCCAAATGTGCGCATACGGTAGTGCTGTATGGAACATTTTATAACGGTACAATGGCGGTTGATCATGAGCGTGGGAAGAAACGTACAGTGCGTTGTTGATGGACAAACAAAATACTTATTGCAATCTGTTAAGACTTCTCTTTCAACATTCGGAATAGGCCATTGATACCTGCTTGTAATAATAGGTGCATTACAGAATGGTTTAAACAGGATTTATTTTCTTGCCAAAAAAAGTAAGCAAAAACAACGGTAACAAAGTTGGCCAACTAATGGCATGCATACCGTATGAATATTTTCATCGCACAGCACCTTGAAGATGAAGTAGTGCCTATCAAGCATGACTGCTAGACTTTAACATAGATAATGGTTAATTTTATATGCGTATAACATTGTCACGAACATGTCGCATACGGAGTGAGACATGACACCTAATTTTTAGCCTGTTTACAAGTGTGCTGCCATGGGTTACCTGCTGAGACCGAACTGGAGAGACAGCTCAGAAAACAAGGAAGGAAAGAAGCAAACTTTGAACCCTCCTGATGGATTTACACAGAGGTGCCATTATTTGGCAGCATGCTCAGATGTTCCCCACGTTTGCCAAGTAATGCCACTGAAACGTCACGTCCCTGCCATACGTGCCACTTACCCTCCCCATTGCTCCTCCCACCCACCACCTTGCTTCACAATCCCTGGACATGCAACTGATGTAAATGCAAAACCTCTTGTGAATTTGTGTTTATTGCGTGAAGTGTTTGGACTGCAACAGGATGGTGTGAATATTTTTGCCACGGAAATATTTTGTCAATGAAATATCATCTCATTATGAATATGATATTACAATACCGTACCATAATAAATCATTGCAACTTAACAAATAGACTTTATTGTGTCCACAACGTTTTGTCGGCATATTTAATTATACTTATTTATTGTCGTATGACAATCACGCTAAAATGAAACGGTATATAATTATTTATTGTTTTTAAAAAATACAAATCACCCATAGTTTAACAAAACTATATTTAAAATTGTGAAAGTATTTATTTATTATTGACTTGCTTTTTAAAACTTGTACTGTTGTTGCGTGAAAAAAATATATATACTGTAATCAAGAACATAAAATATCACCTCGTTTATATATTGCCATTAAATTATACATTATTCATTGTAACATGCAGTGAATTATAAATTATAGTAAATTTTCCATACAAAGTTTGGAGTAATTTGTTTTTTTTTCTTCCCAAATGTGTTTTGTCACTTCAGTGATTTCTCATGCTGATGGGTCATAGACAAACTTCAAGTTGGAGCTTAAGTTAAAATTATTAGTGGTACACTAACTTGCTACATTAGTTATCGGGAGCCCGCCGCTTGGGTTTGTCGTCTGAGAGAAGGTAGGTCCTAAAGGTAGGTTAAGGTGCAGCTCTGTGATTGCTTGCTTGTGCCGTTGTGCTGGCAGAATGGTCTCCACTAGAGAAAGCTCTAGAGGGAAGTTGGCCTACTCTCCTACGCTGGCCAGATGTCTTGGAAGAGGTGGGATTGCCCACTTTATCTTCAGGGCCTTTGGGAATAACACTTCAAATGTCTGTATGAGGGTTCATCTATATAAAATAAATCTCAAAATCAAGCCTATATACAAAATATCAGATAATCCCAAGAAAAAATGTGTTCCAATTCTCTCCGCAAAGGGAAGTGACGTTACTAACATGACATCAATTCTGCTGTTTTCCACCAAACTGGTGTCACGTGGTGTCGAGTGATGTGACGTGTGTGAACGTGATAATACATTAATTCCTAACAACATAAATGACGTGAAAATCACGAGAAAAAAAACGAAAATATTAATTCCAAAATGTTTTAATTTCAAACTCATCCCAGATTTTCTTGTATATTTGTTAACCGTGAATGTTCCAATTTGAAACACTAGTTTATAATTTGGATTATGACGTGATATTTGGAGACTTAATGTGAAATGTTATTAACTATGAACCAATTTATACTGATTAAGAAAATATATTACTCATGAAAAAGCTAAAATCTTTTCAATCGAGCAGTTTGTACTTAATAATAACATGAAGAAAATGGAACTGGTTAAAAAGATCAATTATTTTTGGATGGGGAAATATTTATAATATCTTTACGAATCACACCAACTAAAACTGTTAATGAAGTGTGAACAGTGCAAAGCGAAACATTTCTATTCCAGACGTTCCATGATTACCATAAGCTGTTAGGTTTCTACACACCCCGCCAGGAATGTAATGCTGCAAATTAGCAAGCTAATCTGGGTTTGAAACATGCTCAGGTGGACTTGTGTGACATTACCTGCGCGTAGAACGGTCACAAATTGTGTTAGTGGAATAATAGAGACCTGGTTTTTACACGCTGACATGAATTACGCGCTGCCAAATTATACATGTCAACGCCGCGACCGCACATTTATACGGATTGGACTAAAATTTGGTTACGTCTAAAATTGGCAACTATTGAGATTAATTCGTGTTTTTTTCTTTCTTCCCACCTGCTAAAAATTGAGAGAGGTGAAATAAAACACGAGATTAAAACATGACGGTCTGCTTGTGTTATGGATTGAAGGAAATTATTTAAAAGACAAAGAGTGGTGATCAATAGGCGAGGGACAATATGGGGAGTCCAATAAAGCATGCCGGATTCTGGAATCATTGCTGATTTTTGTAAGCGACAGGTCTTCATCAATAAACAATGAGAAAACATAGAGAGCAATAGCTCACTGTACCCTGCTGTATACATTTCGGCATTTCTCTTTAGATTGAATTTCATGTTTGTTTCAGAAAAAAAAGGGAGCAGCACATTTCATTAAACATGGTGAATTATTTCCACCCAACCAAATCATTTCGTTTTCATGAAAAAAAAACGGTCAACCTGACCCCTCCGTGTTGCCTTATTGATGGCTGAGACCATTGCACAACTCGGCACAGCCAGATTGAACATCAGTCCACACGTTGAAGGCATGAAATGAAATTCAGCGCAATATTTTTTGACTGACAAACTCTCAACAAACTCCCAAGGTTACGCCGCAGAAACACAGCTATTGTTTCCAATTTTAATTTCAATGAGTTCACACTAAACAAGAGTATTAAGACCATGCATGCCCAGTTTTAGCATACCTCAAAGCGACGATTGTGGTAAGAATTACGCATAAAAAAACTAATTAATGCATAAGAAAATACTATATTTTGTGGAAAGTATGCTCAAAGTTTCAGATTTCACCATTTGTGTACGTGAAATACTAGTTCGTATTGAAACTATACAACTATTTTCTGTGATTAATGTCTCATCCTTTCCGTTGGTGACTAATGTTTGCTTATACTAACACATACATTGACATATACAACCTTTTGTTATTCTTGAAGATGGTTGTAGCAATGTCGCACATTTTTAAAAGGCATGTTTATTTAACTGTCATATGCTAATTGTTCACTGGTAAAGATCTGTCCAAAATTATAATTCTAGAATTTACCAAGAATAAAATTAACCCAAAATACAAGGTTTAGAACTGCGATAATAATAACAACAGTATTTCATAATGAAACATCAATTAATATTACCAACTCATATATTGCCGTCTTACTGAAAATAAGTCCTGGAAAGGTCTAAAAAAAATTATAGACAAACATGCACGTTTTTTTAAAGAACTTGCAGAAAATAATTCAGGTAAAGTGTCAACTTATTCTTCGTGTCATGCTTCGTAGCCAAAAGTTATTGCGTGTTCTGACACTTCCTCTGTAATGCATTGTTATGCAGTAAGCAAAGCATGGCAGTGGTAGTGTGTGTGTGCAAGAAACTAATGAATTGCAAGCACAGAAGCGTGAAAAGCGATTACTCAGTTTGTATGTGTGGTAGTAATGGTGCAGTATTTCTTGCTATTTCTAGAAATGCTGAATGGGACGTAAAACAAAAGCATGAGCTTCAGGCTTGTATGTTTTTTTAAGTGTGTCCTGCAGCCACATTTTCTTCAGTGTTCCATTGCATGTAACCAGGGCTTAATTTCAGCTGAAGCTGTCTGGAGGGGAGGGGGGTTGAGGTGGGGGGGCTCGGAAAAAATTCCACGTGAAATTAAGCTCTAGGAGTAACAAATTACTGTTTTTAGGAAAATGGCACAATTGCCCCAACATGTGAAATTAATATGAATTTTAATTAATTCTGCAAGTGTAAATCAAGTCATTAATATTCTGCGTGCAAATTATTTGCAAGTGCATTATATGCCTATTTTACTGTAGCAATGACCGTACCACTTCGGTATTCATATTTGTTGAATACATTCTTGCAATGTTTACACAAGTGAAATATCATACATTAGCCAGAGTATTACAAAAGCAAATTACTTGCTGAACAAAAATCAAATGTGGTAAAGTAACAGGAGCAACGTGCACCCATCATGCGAGAACGAGCGTAGCACAAAAACAATCTTTGTATCAAGACTCAGGGTTGTTTTTCCCATGATTCTGATTAATCCCTACTTCTGCAACAGAGGGTAGTCTGTACATAAGACAATAGGTTAAGATATATACGTCACCGATCTAAATAAAATGCTGTATTGCTACACAAGAATCCATAATAAATGTGCTCCCCACATAATGAGCAGACAATGTCACGGGGTCAAATGGACTCCCTCCCCATGGGTGAAGCTACATTTACGAGTACGGATAAAGTTTCTCTCATTCACAATATTAAGCAGAGGTGGCAGGGAAATGACGGTGCGTAGGAGGTCGTATGAAGGGACAGTTTTGTGGGAGGCAGTGATCTGGTGTCGGGGCTGGTGGAGGGGGGGGCGGTGAGTGGAGAAGCAGATTGGGATGAGAAGCTCTGATGAATGGTGGAGAGGATATGAAGACAAGAATGACAGCTAGCCTGAAAGAGCAAGGGATAGTGAAGAGAAGGGGGCAGGAGGTGTTCGCGTCGCCGCTTGATGCAAACGGCGGGGTATTGGATGAGAGAGTTGCTCACTTAATGTTTGTAGGAGGGGGCAGATTGAGCAGGTGAGAAAGTCGTGAGTGATTTTTTTTCATGAGCGTAGCTATGAATGCCTAATCTACAAATCTTACAGCGCTAACCATCAACATCACTTCACGCGTAATGAAAAAGCACTCATTGCCCATTTCACAACAAACATGTGACATTTCATTTTCCGCATGTATATGTATTAGAAAATTCGGAATATATTAATGTTGTATATATATCCTACTGAATAATACCTATTGGAGGTGTGGTAATTCTACATGCTTGTTCAGAAATTAAAATAATAAACCAGATAATAAAAACCAAAGCATAGAGAAAGGTAGATAATACTTAGCTCTGTCCTTTGCATTGACACTTTACATTGACTCTAATCGTGTTTAAGATCGTTATGCCGATGATCAAATTGCATACAATGCATCCCCATCTAGGCATATCTCAGAAGCAACCTTTTTGGGTTAGATCGCGTTATTTATAAATGTGTCGTAACCCTCCACCACCCGACACGGCCAATCAGCAAAAAAGTGTCATGTTGACAAAAGACAAATAGTTCACTACTTCAGCCCACCGGTGTGTTGAAGCGTGAAGCCACAACATTCAACATTTTTGAGTACGACGTTTCGCTGGTAATTGCATCCAGCATCATCGGGCAATTCGCCAGAATGGTTGGGGGTTGACTCAGCCCATTCCATCTCAGAAGCTAAGCAGTCTTCAGCCTGGATAGTTCTTGGATGGAGGGACCACCAGGTTAGCATAGGTGGCTGTGCGGCTACATTGCACGCAGTGAAGGGCAGTGCAGGAAAATACATTTCAAACTGTATTTCTATTCTCCAACATCTGCATTGCATAACTTCACCACACAGCGCTGATACGTTTGTTCAAGTATGGCCAAACAATAACCCCCCAGGAACCACACAGTAGGGGGGGGGGGGCCTTATCCAGCAGTGCACATATACACACGTGTACAATATCATCGCAGCGTGTGTCCGTACAGAATTCGTCAATGCACCGTACTGGAAATGTATGATCCCGTTATATTTCCGAAGCTAATACAAAATGCCTAGGTGCTACCCGACACAGACAGCACAACTATTGTAAAGTGACATTTAGGCGATTATCATTCGGTTTTATTTTAACGTTACAGTTATTATATTAATAGTCTAATAACATGATTAGATGCGAGGCTACTTAAGGGAATGTGTCGCGTATTTCAGAGGCTATTTCTGCACCCTGCAATTTGTTCAAAGGCATCCGCGGCACCGCTGCTAACACTGCAGAAAAATCCTGCAAATACTCGGTGAGTTATGGCTACCACATGTACCAAACTCGAGCATTTACTCCACGAGAAATCAATGTTTTGGCATGGAAAAATAGCTAAATCTATTTTCCATTTGTCTAAAGGGCCAATGCGTGAAGACAAATCCACACATATCGTAATTGCTGCTCAAAAATGCTTTTTTCAGTTTGAGATATGACAATGAAACACAAATATAAATTGCTGCAGAAAAATCAGGAGACGCTTGATAGACAGTGCTTTCTTGGAACTCTTTACATCATATAAGTTGTATGTTGACAAAGAGAGAATTTTGCCACATATATGTAACAATTAGACTTTCAATATATATGAACAAGACGGTATCACGCCGGCAGTAGGGCAAGTGGCTTGCAACTGTAAAGTTGCGAGATAAAATCTTGGTTGGAGGTTGACTCAGCCCATCCCTCTGGGGTCTATCAATTTAGTACCACTTTGTGCAGAAATCAACCCTATGGATAGACTCGCCCCCGCCATACGAACGTGGAATTTCCACCACTGACGTAGGTTTGTAAACAGAAGAACAGTCCTGCCTAAGCCCTCATGTTTGCAGGAAATCGCTTATTTGGGGGAAACTATTGTGTATGTTGTCTGTTTGTTGAAAGTGGTGAATTAATGTAACCGTGATAAAGCACAACGTTGTCTTTCATTACAGCGAGAATCGTGGGGTACTTCATTTAATGGGATACTGTTTATGAAGAACCTCATGACGATGTGTCGTTATCTGCAGACTTTTCCAGTGCATAGACTGTATATGGACTACAGATACTGGGTATGCAGTATATATAGTCAGGCCGCACAGTGAATGCATGACATGAATATGAACAAATAATAATACAGTTTACAGCCTTTCATTAACCCACTGCTGAATGGAGGCTTCCCATTGTCATATTGGTCAATACCATGTGTTTGACTATACTTCACCACACTGGTCAATGCAGGTTGCCGAAGAGGAAGGGCCCAAGACCGATTTCAGTTACCACTTATCACTGATGTTAGCCGTGACCAGGAGTCAAACTCGAGTTACTAAGTTCACATAACTGTGCGCCACCCTTTGATATAAAACAAAAAATTAGGACATATATTTATTTATATTTTGAGAGAATTGGGTAAGAGTTGGTTTCGTTTACGTAACT